ACAGTTCTGGGCTGCAGAGAGTCTTCAGATGAAAAGCTGGCAGCCACCATCAGTGCGTACATTGGAACATGACAAAGAGTCAACAGCTCCACGTTACTCAGAACCTTCCTGTGATTTTCACCCAAAACTGAAGACAAATATGTCTTTATTGTTTCCTCACTGAAGCCTTTCACCTCCACTCTGAGCCAGTCTTCAGGACAGAGGTCTTCCTCATCATCTGGTCTGCAGGTAATGATGATTTTAGCATCAGGTAAGAGATCTTTCTCAACAAGTTTCTCCACAACTGATGTAGAGAAATCTGTGACTCCATCTAAAATGACTGTAACATGATCAGAGTGGCTCTTTATGTCCTGTAAGACTTCATCTTTGCCCTCATCTGGTTCACTGCATGCAGTGAAAAGTAGATCCTCCAAACTCATGGTTGGTGGGATGTTGGTTAATTTTCTCATGTCAACGTAAAACATGTAATCCAGCTCCTTGTTGTCTCTTTCTGACCACAGTCTCAATATTTCATGACTCAGAGTCGTCTTTCCAATACCAGGTTTCCCAACCAGGAGGATGTTTTTATCAGTTTTCAGCAGGTCACTAGGGGAGATTTCAGGTTTGTTCTCTGGAATATAAGTCCTTAACTTTTTAGGACGTAACTTCTTGCTTTTATTGTTTTTAATTTTCTTTATTTTGGATGGAGAAATTTTTCCTTGGATATCAAATGCAACTGCCCTATAAAAGAGATCAGGCTTCTTGTCTTCTGCAAAAAGATCTTTACTTGCCCTCCAGAAGTTCTCTAATAATTTTTTTGCTTTAGATTTTAACTTGGTCTGATATTTACAGCATGGCTTTGGACCTAAGATAAAAGCAACAATAGGTTAATAAATTAAAATAATTTGGGAATTAATCAGTAGGAGTATTCTCTTGCAAGAGACACAGATATAAAAACAAAAAACGTCACAACATTAATCCATGACTTGATAAAAACCACAAATATCCTGGATGTTTTTCCTGCATTCCTTGAAGTTTTTCCTATAGTTGCCTTACATATTACCTCTAGAAATATATAAATGTATGTCTAAATATGCTGGTGTGAAGCCAGGGTTCAAAATACCTGTTCCAAACACATTTGTCTTATCAAACTTTGGTTTGCTTTCCAGGTTGCCACTTTTTAAAAAGATAGATAAAAAATACTTGCACTCAGAATTTGTTTCTCGAACATTTAGTTTTAAAGATGTTTCAATCTGGGTTTAAAAGTCACTGCAGCATGACGTCTGCATTGTACAGAGTCTTTCATATTTTTAACAACGGACTCCGAGATTGTATGTTAATCTTTAAAAAAACCTGTGCATGTACTTTGAATGCAAGAAAAAAGGAAGGCCATTTGGGTAGAGATAAAGTAAATAGAATAAAGTTTGTGTATTTCATTGTGTTTTTGCATTCTTGATTCCTAAAACTGTTCCAAATGGAGCAGACCTAAGAACAAGAAGCAGCTGATTTGGTTCAAACTTCCTTCCAGTTTGATCATTGATTGTTCATTAACGTGAGCTTTTATGTTTTATATGTGTTTTTCCTTCCCTCTCTATGTGAACTTGTCCTAACACTTCCTAAATACCTCAGTGCTCCATTTCAAAACATAGGTTTTCAGAGAACATGCCATACTGAACCATAGTGAACTCATAAGAAATTAGTATTATTTATTGCTACTCTGGCTTCTTTTTGTTCTTTGAAGTTGCCATTTTGGTATCAAAAAAATACTAAGAGATGTATCACTGCAGTGACTAATCGATTGACTAATAATCAAGTGATCAAAAGGTTAGTGATTTGAAATTTGGAAAATTAAATAAAACATTATTTTCTAATAACTTTTTTTTACTTTTCTTGGCTCTGTGACACATGCTAAACTGAAAGCTAATCTTAACAACAAAACTGTTGTAGACAAATCTTAGTCTTTAAGCACTCATATTTCAACTGGACTGCCAGTTGAACTATGAACGCTTGATACCACACATCAATCTATGGGTTACTTTATGCTTAGTTGCAAATTTTGATGCAATAAAAATATGCAATGAGACAATGCACCCAGCAGTGCTGGTTTTCAGCAGTTACTGAATATCTGCTTGATTATGGGTTAAGATTAGATTTACAGTATAATGCTAAGAAAACTGTTGTACTAATATGTAGGACTAGAGCAGACAAACAACTCTGTTTCCCTGATTTTTTTCTGTCGGGATTAAAGTTAAATGTTTGTTCCAAAACTAAATATCTGGGTCAGTACATTACAGACCAGCTCTGTGATGATGATGACATTTATTGGCAGTGTCGCATGTTGTAGGTCCAGCCAAACGTTCTGGGGAGGAAGTTTCACATGTATACTGATGAGGTAAAAATAAGCCTGTTTAAGGCTTACTGTACATTCTTGTATACATCTCCTTTGTGGTGTACATTTAAAAAAGCTAGCATGAAGAAGCATAAGGTTGTTTATAACGACTCCCTGAGAATTCTGCTAAAGAAACCCAGGTTCAGCAGTGCAAGTGAGATGTTTTGTAATGCACGTCAGAAAGTCTCAAGCACTCATGAGGAATTTGATTTACAAGTTTATGCATCGTTTGTGCAGCTCATTGAACAGTCTTATTGTAATGTTCTCACATCCCTCTGTCAGTGCGCTAAGATACCAGTCGGCTCTGTGGAATCATTGGTATGCAAGTCTCATAAGATTTTTTTTTTTTTTTTTTTTTTTTTTTTTTTATATATTTTTGTTTTTTTTTTTTGGGGACCTTTTTTTTTTTAAAAAAATTTTTTTCTNTTTGTGGGGGCTAAAATACCAGGCGGCTTTTTGGAAATATTTGTTTGTAAGGCTCATAAGATTTTTTTTTTTTTTTTTTTTTTTTTTTTTTATATATATATATGTGTTATGTCTTTGTGGACCATGATTCTGTTAAATAAAGTTTCTCTCTCTCTCTACTTATTTGTAGTTTTAATTACCTCGTATGTAGTTTTGCTGCATTTCTGCATCTTCTTTGAAAGGAAAGCAGCTGATCCAGTGGTGCAGGTCAAAGCTTTTAGCCTCAGTTGAAGCTTCATTTGTTGGTCTCTCTAAGGTTCTCCTCCTCGTCTGGTCAATAATCCTTAGAAACCTGTAGCAGGCGTCTTCACCTTTTCTAGTGACTGAGTCCAGTATTGCTCTGGTTCTGTCATAGTCGTCTTTCTCTGCCTTTATCTTGCTGACCTCTTCATCAATGAGAACTCCTTGCTGATACAAGTTCTCAAGAATCACTGAGAGGCTCTTTAATTCTCCAACAAGGTGAGGTCTGGCATTCACAACATATTTCAAGGCTGACTGTGACGTACAAGCCATAACTTCAGATGTCTGTTTTCACACAAACCCAACTTCACTGATCTGCAAGACAAAAAACAGTTTTATGGAGAAGTTTTTAGTTAAGGCAGCATGCATGACCACAAAACAGTATATTCATTATGTTTAAGGTCCCCATAAACTAGTCTGCTCATTTGAAAGCTACAGAAACAACAAAGTGAAAACTTCTTGACATTACTAATTCAGTGATGAGTATTCATATATATATATATATATATATATATATATATATATATATATATATTAATAACCAATGAATGTAAACTACCCAAAATCTCAGTTTTTAAAAAATGAAATAAAAATCAGCATTAAAAAAATACCAGACTTAAAACATATTAAAAATACAAAATATTAAAGCAAATACACATAGAATTTACAAACACTATAGTGACAAAAATACTTATACATTTAAAGATAAAAACTCTGAATATTTCCAAGAGATAATTTTGAAAATGTCCTGTATGTGCATAGTTGTTGATATAGTGCAATATAGAATACAAGCGTATTAAGTAGCTGACTTCAATCAAATGTAAAAACGTCCTCAGTCATTTTGAAACATGCTTTAAAAAACAAATAACTTTCCTGTATTGGTTTTCCTTTAATATTTGCTAACGAGAAAATCCAAACCAACCGAAACTTAAACACACGGGGTTGGAGTGGCAGTTAAACAAGCCGTGACGTGTCAAAACACGGAAACACGATTCATTTTACTGCCACTGTTTCAAGTATTTCACCTGACGAAAGGAAAACAAATCCAAAATAAACATCTACTTCTCTTCATAGGTTGTCATCTTTTCATAAAATAAGCAGAACCACTCATGTACAGAAATCTCATACAAACAACTTTTACACTCTGTCCAGGTGAACTTTAAACACGTGTGACTTAAAGAAATAAAACAAGTTAAAGTAATTTATTTTTTCGGAGGGAGTCTAAACACTTTATATCAATAGATAAGCAAACAGAAAACCCATTAAAATCGTTTTAAATTTTACCTGTATTACATTTGGGATCACGGTGACATTCATTGTACCCCATTTCCTCGTTGAAATGCGGACTGTCGTCACTGTAGGTCCGTGTACCTTCAGACGTTTTTTTTTCTTCGTTTTAAACAAAAAAAAACTAAAGAAACGAGCTTTTTCGTTTATTGAACCAAAATGAAAAATCAGATAACAAGCCAAACTCTGTTATCGGATTTCCAATTTCTTGCATTAAACGAAAGTAAAACTGTTCACGAAAAACCTCTTCCTGGGTAGAAGGATCTTTTTT